CGCGGCCGCCGGCGCAGCTGCCGCCATCGCCTCAGCGCAAACGGCGGATTCCCGCACTCCCTGGTGACGGCGCTGGCCGCTTCCGGGTCCTCTCGGCTGTTTCCGGATCCGCTCGGCTGTTTCCGGATCGGCCCCGTACCCGCGGCCCAGGCCGGAGGTGAGGGGAATTGCCGAGCGTCGGCCGAAGATTCCCGAGTGGACACCGGCCCTGGCTCCGGGTCCCGCCCCTCTCCTGGGCCGCGCGGGTCCTGAGGACCCTGCCCTTCCAACTGCAAAGAGGTCCTTCCCCGGCGTCTCTCCGCGACCTTGGAAGTTCTGCTGCTGTGCCACCTCGGGGACGCCGGCCGGCCTCGCCCGGGAGGACGAAGCGCTGTCTGGCTCCTGTCGCGCTGCTCCCGGAGTCAACCCTGGATGGCCCCCGGCCGCCCTTCCGCCGCAGCCTGGCTCACGTTACAGCGAGCCGTGGCCCGGCCCTCCCTGCTCCGCCGCCCTGGTGGAGCGTCCCTCGGGCCAGGGCTGGGTCGGCTTCATTTTTCTGGGCGCCTCCGAGTCCCCACGTAGTCAGGCGTAGAAGTGCGAAACTTCCACGTCCCCACCCCCATTTTGAAGCCGCTTCCTGCTAATCCCCTTCTCCCCCTCCCGGTGCCTCTCAAATCCTTCCTCTGGCGCAGCCTGGCTCAAGCTCTCCTTATCTGTGACCTCTCCCCTTGGAGAGTGCAGGCACTTACAACTCAAGCCCAGAGCCTTGCTTCTCTTTACCCCAAACCTGTTTTGTTTTTGTTTAAACTGGGGACTGACCCTAGTATTAACTTACATCCTCATTTCTTTTTCAGTTTTTTGAGACAGGGTCTCTGTAAGTTGCTTTACTGGCCTCAAACTTGTGATCCTCCTGGCTCAGCCTACCTTGTCACTGGGATTACAGTTGTGTGACACCGCACCCGGCCCAAACCTGTTTTCTCCCTCTAAAAGACACTTCAGGAACCTGGAAGTCCTGTAAACTCTACCTCCAGTGTACTCAGTATTCTAGAATGCGTTCCCTTTTCTTCCATTGCTAACATCTAGTCCCAGGGCCCTTCTCCTGAACTTCCGTGATGCCCCCTAACTCTTCTCGCAGCCTCTGTGTGGATGGCCACTGTAGTTCATTCTCAAAGCTGCTGGTGCCATCTTTGTAAAATGTCAATCGTGTCTCATTCCTGCAGAAAGCCTTCTAGTAATCTAGCTTGGAAATGGGCAGAGGACAAGAACGGACATTTCACTGATGTCACAAGTGGCAGATATTCTCATGAAAAGATGTTCAACACCATTAGCCTAGGAAAATGCAAATTGAAGCCGCAAGGAGACAGCACTGCAGGCCTCTGGGAATGGCTAAATAAAAGCGCTAACACCAATTGCTGCTGATCATGAGGAGAAAACAGTGTTTCTCATACATTGCTGATAGGAAGGAAAAATGGTACAACCACTGGGGAAAGAATATGGCAGTTGTTGATCTCGGTAAACGCACTCACTTGAACTCACCAAGTTTACCCATCTCAGATCTCCACTCAAATGTCACTTCCTCCATGAGGCCTTTCTTTACCTTGTCTAAAGTAGCCATCTCACTGGGGGACAGTTACAAACGCCTGTAATCCCGGCGATTCAGGAGGCTGAGGCAGAAGGATTGTGAGTTCAAAGCCAGCCTCTGCAACCTATGGAGGCCCTATCTCTAGTTAAAGTATAAAAAAAGGGCTGTGGATGTGGCTCAGTGGTTAAGCATCCCTGGGTTCAATCCCTAGTACCAAGAAAGAAAGAAAAAGACAGAAGCCACCTCTGTCACCTGGCTACTATATGGTGAGCACTTCTCACCACCCGCAATTATTTACTGGTTAGCTTGTTTATCACCATTCTCTTTATCCTTCCCTGACCCCAAAACTTGCATCAAAGTTTTGTGAGAGCAGGCTGGGGATGTGGCTCAAGCGGTAGTGCGCTCGCCTGGCATGCCCGCGGCCCGGGTTCGATCCTCAGCACCACATCCAAACAAGGATGTTGTGTCTGCGAAAACTAGAAAATAAATATTAAAAAATTTCTCTTTCTCTGTCTCTCTCTCTCTCACCCTTTTTTTTTTTAAAAAAAAAAAAAAAAAGCTTTGTGAGATTAGGAGCCCTGTCTTTCTTGTCTTGTGTTTCCCAAAATCTGTTGGGAGGAAAAGGAATGAATAAGTTCTTCCCTTACAGGTCTGTCTGGCCTCCCTCCACGTTGCAGCCAGGGGGAGTTGTGGGAAATATAAATCTGGCCAGGATTATAAATCCCCAATAGCTTCTTGCCCTCAGAATTAAGTCTAGACTTAATTCTTAACATACGTGCACGGTTTCTTTCTTTCTTTTGTAATTTGTAGTTGGGCAGAATCCATTTATTTTATTTGTTTATTCTTATGTGGTGCTGAGGATGGAACCCAGTGCCTCCTGTGTGCAAACCAAGCGCTCTACACTGAGCCCCTGTGCCAGCCCCACATGCAGGGTTTCTAAAAGGTAAAATGATGACTAGAAATGAGCCTCCGATCAATTTGGGGAGCTCTCAGGCCTGGCTTTTATCCTGTAGGCCCTGAGAGCCATTGAAGGCTGCTGAGAAAGAGAAGCACATGACTAATTAAGAAGCTTTGGGAATCAGAATCATTAGACTATTCAAATGACCACTGATCTTTAAGAAGCACAAATTTGTCTTTGTCCCAGCCAGATCATATCTTTAGAGGCCTGGGGAAGAAAAAGAAAAAGGGGGGTTCACTGTGATCATGTGTGATCATTGGCACCCCAGTTCCATCACTGCGGGCAGAATCTTGCCAACGTTGCAGGTCCACTGGCAAGGCAGTCCAGGGCTTCCTCCAGGTACTTGTAGAACTAAATCTCTAAGTCATTTGGACTTAGGCAGTAGCACTGTTTTGTTTGTTTGTTTGTTTTTTGGTATTGAGGATTGACCCAGGGGCACTTAATCACTGACCCACATCCCCAGCCCTTTTTAATATTTTATTTAGAGACTGGGTCTTGCTAAATTGCCTTGAGGCCTTGCTAAATTGCTGAGGTTGCCTTTGAACTTGTGATCCTGCTGCCTCAGCCTCCCTAGCAGCTGGGATTACAGATGTGCACCACTGCGCCTGGCATTTTTGTTGTTGTTATGTCCCATTTTACTGTGTGTGTAGAATGCCCAGCTGAGAACATAATTGCAAATATTCGGTTGTGCAAAAAGAGGTGATAGTAGGTGGGTACGACATAAGCAACTGATGCGAGGCACTAAGCAACTCAGTGAGGTCCTGTCTCGAAATACAAATGGCTGGGGATGTGGCTCAGTGGTTAACTGCCCCATGGTTCTATCCCCAGTACCAAAAAAGAAAAAAAAATTTTTTTAATTGCTTTTTGCAATGCTGGAGCTTGAACTTGCACCCCCAGCACACCCTCAGCACCCCTCCTTGTTTTCTTCCAAAGAAAGCTTTTTTTCTTTTTCTCTTTTCCTTTTTTTTTTT